CTGTTGTCTGCTGCATTGGATAGCCCAGGGGCCTGCGTCTGGGCATGACCCCTTTTCTAGCACTGGTGTGTTTGGGGGAGGAGAGCATGGAGTAATCCCCTACCTGAAACATCTTGAATTTCCTGTCCAGAAGGAAAGACATTTTCATGATGGGGCTTTTGGCGTGCTTGATTATCACTGCTGGAGCCAGGGCAAAAAACATTTTGATTTTTTGAGCCAGTTCTGGCATGGATGAAAATGCAATGAACGCTGAGAAAACAGAAAAACAACCTGAAACTTGGTCGATCTTTCTTCAGGTGCTTAATCCAAGGGTTCGCTTGGACCCACCGCCCAGATCTGTTTAGCTGGCATTAGCTCCAATTAGAAACCTGGTATTTCTTGCCACCTTTCTGCTTAACATTAGTGCTAGAGATGTCCAAAAGGAGATAACACCTTTATTCCTATGGTAACAAGTGGCTGATGAGGCACTTCAGTGACTACCACAGATGGGAAGTCCTGCCCCATGCACCAGGTGAAGGGAACAGTACTGTCATTTTCCATCAACCACTGCTAAAGGGTATCATCGTCACAGAGGTTACCTCATACCCCTGATGGCCCAGCTGGTGAGAAGGAGCACCATGCATTTCATCAGAAAGCAGAAGCTGTGACTTCCATGCAAAACACCTTTGGTTTTGAGGTGGAACACCGCAATTTGGTTTTCTAGATTGAATTATATTTGCAACAAGGAGCTTACTGAGGTCACCAGGAGCTTTCTTACTACCCTAGGAGCACATTGGTCCTCCTAGATGTCTTGTATGGAAAGCATGGCTGCTGTGAGACTTCTTGCTGCAAGAGACCTTCTACCTAGCCTGCCTGCTCGGCAGCCCACAAAGATGGGAGCTCTCTGCTTTTTGCTTGCAAACACCAAAGTTTTCAAAGTGGTCCAGGCAGCATGATGTGCAACCCCTTCTAACGCACCGATCGTGCAGCCCTGGGAGTAGCCAACGTAGTATATCTGCTTCTGCCCAGTCTTCTGCAGAACAAAGTCGATCATGGCTGGGAGGTCGTACATTGCCATTTCATGGAAGCTGCAACACAGGAGTAGTGCATTGGTTATAAGGTAACACCAGGAGAGAAAACTTACCTGTGAATTTTGTCTGCCTTGCATTGCTTGTGTACTGAAGGGCTTAACATCTGTGGCTGATTTTCCAGGAGAAAATTCCTATGAGCTAGGAGACCCCCGTGCTGGGTGAAACTGCAGAGAGTCTGAAGGCATCCTTCCTGCCATGGCCTCATCCTTCCCTGAAAGGGCTTGGTCCTCCCATAACCATGACTAGCAGTAAAGAAACTGCAGGGCCTGGCCAGCTGTGCATTCAGGTGCAATACACAGCAGTTCTGCAGACCCAGAGCTGGCTCTCATCAGGATTACAACACCAGCTCTGCTCCTAGAGATGCTCTTTCCAAGAAGGGAATGGAGCACCAGTTCCTGCCCCTGTGCCTTTTAGTGTGATATGGTGAAATGCAGACCTACTTCATTAGCTTTTTCTACTAGAAGCATGTTTATGAGCTTGGGAAATCCAGGAGTGCTCTGAAGATCAGCTCTGGAGCAGCAGTAGCAGCTTAAAATGCCATTCTTGGAGACAAGGTTTCTGTGGACAGTGTCTAGAAGGGGAGGTGGCAATGACGCTTGTGGACACCTTGCTGGGGGGGCTTGGCTGGGGAGGTCCACGCAGAAGCCCAAGACAGGGCTGATGTCTCTGCAGGATGGGCATCCCCATGCAGGCAGCAGTGCCCTGCACTCTTGGCAGGGCCAGGCAGCTGCAGGGAGGTGTTGGCACCATGTCACAGGTACCTCCTTTCTCCCTGGGCACATCACTGGGAGGTCTGGGGGAGGCCATACACAGGGATTAGGTGCTCTGACTTGCATGCTTGGGGACATCCATATCTGCCTAGAGGTTAGTGACAGGCAGGGAAGTTTGCCATGCCTTTGTAATCTGCTCCAGCCCACCTGAAATCCCAGAATTCAACCTGGTCAGCTGAAAGGTGCTGGTGTCTCCGGGACCAGCTTGTCCCCCGGCTGTTTCCCAGCCAGACGTCATAGCCGGAGTCTGCTAGTATGAAGCCAAGGCTGTTGTTAGCCAGATTTTCCACCCAGTGGCTGCCTTCTCCAAATACCCCGTGCTGGAGAAACACAACTGGCTTGGCCCCTGGATGCGAAAGAAACAGCGCATTTCATTGACCCAGAATTTCACTACTTGCCCCAAATTCAGGCCAATAAAGCCTCTTGCTTGCACTGCCAGAAGACATAAAATGTGCATTTAAATTATGTTTCCTGGTGAAGAAATCCTTGCCGTAGTTGTCTTGTGGTGGTTGCTCTCATTGTCTCAGGCTGGAGGGCTGCAGACATCCCTCCTAAGCCTTTCAGACCCCAGGTGCTCATCCGTACAAGCTCAGCACCATGGCCACTGACAACAACCATGTGAAAGCTCAGATGTACAGGCTCGTCCCTGAGATGGTTCAAACCCCAAAGTCACAAGTTTATGGGGAAAAAATTAAATGAGGAGCTCTCTTAAGATGTGCCTGCACCCTCTGAGACTTAAAACCAAGTCTCTGCTTGATATGAAAGGCGGTTGCTGTGCTGCACGCACACTATCCTATGCTGGCTGCTAAAGCCTTGACTGTAAATCAGAGAAATACCATGGATTTGGTATTTTTGCTTTAACAATAAATACTCCCCTGGCCTGGTAAGGTTCATCCCTTCACCTGCTTGTTGTGTTAAGTTTTTTTTATTTTTTTGCTGGCTTCCTTGTGAAATAGAGCCATACCTTTGTTCCCAGGATTTTCTCTCCCATGAGGAATTCTGTTCAGGCTGACAAAGTAGCCGTCATGAGTCAGGACTTCATACTCCTCGCTGGGGTACCCTCTGTGGCAGATTATTTGGCTCTGGGGAAAGAAGAACCCAGGTGGAAAGCTTTCCATAGCCAAGGTGCTCATTTGACTCAAAGAGCGCATCCCTCATCCACTGGGATGCCTTTGCAAAACCAAAACATAGTGGCAGCTGAGACATTGCTTTGCCTGGGGTGTCTCTGAGAGCTTTTTTCAGAGAGGATGCTCTGCCTGAATCCCATGCCTGCCCCAGCGAGATGTGCAAGGGAAGAGGAGACACTCAGCCGTGGGCTTCTGCCTGCGAGCAGGAGGGGATCTGGCTGCAGCAGGGCTCTGCTGCAGCATGCAGCAGCACATGCGTTTGAAATGTTTCCAAAAACAAAGACTGAAACCAAAATGATTTATTAACAGCTGACACTGTTGGCAGGACATGTCATGTCACACTCTGAGCTGATGTGTGGGGCAGATAAGATGGCAGGGCATATTGAACCTGCTGAGCTGGGCTGACTGGAAGGGCAACAGAACAAGCTCCATAGGATTTGTTGCAGGGCTTCTGAGGCACTGCCCGAGCTTTATTTATGCTGAAAACCCCACAGATTGGGAAGTTTCAGTCTGGTGAAATTCAGCTGTGATCCTGCCTACACATCACTGTATGCTTGCTTTGCCACACAGTTGGCAGAAGAGATTAATTTCAGCCATTTTATTGCCTAAGTCTTGGGTCCATCTAAACCCACCTTCAGAGACTTTCAGGACTTGGCTGGACATGGCCCTGAGCAACCTGCTGCAGCTGAAGACGAGGAGCCACACAGAACTTTCTACCCTCCAGGAAGATGTCTGATCAAATCCATGCTGGGATTACTCCCTTCTACAACTGACCTGCTGATAATTGCACTTAATACTGCTGGGGGAAGAGGACTCCTTCAGGAAGCAGGGCTTGTTAATGATGGTATGGTGGCCACGTCATATCACACTGTTCAACAAAACCAGCACACGTGGTGACCCGAGCCCCCTCCACATACATACTTTCTAACCCTCTCTCTCCCAGCTAAATGTCTGCAAACTTTCAGAGTGGAAATTCAAACTTCTGACTTACAACATTCATGAAAGTCTCAGGATTTATAGCCTTATTCTGCTTGATGGCATCTGTTGAGTTCATGGGTGCTTGCAGCAAAAACAGGATTGCAATAAACAGCCACATCTTGTGTCTGTGTAAAATAATAATATTATTATTATTATTATTATTATTATTATTATTATTACTATTATAATTATTTAACATTGTTATGAATGTCTGTTTCTACTTGGTTACGATGGGTTAAGTTCTTTATGTATCTGAAGACCATATACCACGGTCTGGGCTGGGGAACCAGAGAGGATTCCCACTTCCAGCTTCCATTACAGTCCATGCAAGTCTCCTCATACTCCTCCGTACAGACTGGATCTGGTACTAGGCAAGACCCATTTTTGTATTTTTAATGGTGAAAAGAAGAGAAACAGCTTTATAATGCAAGAACTAAAGTGATAGAAAATGCTGTCAGGCCAAGAGTCACATAAACCAAATGAATCTGAAGTAAGAGTTTACACCATGCAAGGAACACATTAATATGACACATATCTATACTCTTGCTGTTTCTCTATTGTTTAGCTTTTTCACCCAGAAGCCGCTATTAACACAAGGATCCTATGAACTGAAACATGTAAAGACTTATAGGAAGACTATTTATTAAAAAAGTGTAGCCTGAAAAAAACAGAAACCTTTTTGACTGCCTTGGAGACTCCTGTCCTGAGCAGAGCTCTTTTCTTAATATACACAGTTAATATTATATATGATTTCTAATGCTTCACCAGGCTCTTAAAAGTTAGAGCTTAACTTCAACTCAGTAGCATGAGTCACAAATCTTCTCACCAGCCTTCTGGTTACTCTCTACCTCCCTTCTTCCTCCTCCCAATGGATGTCCCACACTGTGAGACATATCTACCCTCTAAAATATTCCCAGTAATTCTCTCTATGGTATTACCAAGAGGCAAGTTACAAAGAAAAAAGCAATCAATGCTTTTTCACCCTCAGGATAGCTCCAATGCAAATCTGAATTACGCGGAGGAGAATACGTTACCAGACAGAGCCCACTGTCGTATCTGATCAGGCTGGTGGTGTGAATGGTGGTGGCTCTATCATCACCAGCGTTAAAAAGAGCACGTTGTGTCAGAGCCCTGCTATGTTGGCACCACACTGGACCACATCATGTGTCCTCCAATTAAGCAATGTGCGCGCTGGTCATATCTTTGATACCTTCCTCTGCTTGGCCATGTGGTCATGACTTTTGTGCTTGCAAAGATTATGTTTCCAAAAGTAGCCGGAGTGGTGTGGCAAGGAATTTCAGCTATGGATTTGCACCTTAGGCTCATGATAGCTGCAGTAAATATGTCAAAATATTTTCTTTGTAAAGGGTCAGTTCCTAACTCCCAGGGGACCTTGGAAATGCCTCTTAGAAGAGCTCCTGGGGCAGTGACAGGACTTGGGCTCCACCAGCTTCACAAGGCCTCAGGAGCATGCCAACCTCTCCATAGACACACCAAAGACAGGTCAGGCTTCACTGGCTGCCTGGGTGCGAGACACTCGGTGATTATACCACTCTTCAAAAGTGACAGTGGCCCAGGCAACCTCCACATAGCCCTTTTGCCTAAGTGGTATTGTATTTGCAACTGGCAGTTTGTAAAACCTCTGGAATGATTTCGGGAAAAGCAGCAAGCTTAGTGTCTTGCCAATGGATGGCAGAGTGGAGGAGAGCTTGTGCAATGCCTCTGTTTGAGTGAAGAGAGAGGTATTGCACAGTGTTTGTTCTCCACCTCTAGCCTGTGACCTGACAACCTACGCCTTTCTGTAGCTGCTTGGTAGCCACCTAAAAGACCAAGCCGTCGGCTGGCTACCAGGTACTCTACTTGAGTATACGTTTCCTGGTCATGGATTAGGTTGACTTCTAATGTTCATACCAGCCATAGTCTATGAGCAGTATGCGAGCTGTGAAACACAGCCCAAAACCCGCCTATGTTACTCCATCCACCAGACTGTAATTTTCTATTAGTGCCGCAGCCTCTGACACAAAGGGACTGTGTTTGTGGGCACTATCCTCCTGACGGTGGGTGTGGCCAGAGCCTTCACTGTTTCATTACCTTACTTCTGTCCCTCTGTCTGCTTTGGCCTTTTGAAAACGTCTTCCCACTCCCATGAGCACAAAAATCCCACTACATAAGATGGACTTTACAGGTTGTGTAGAGGGCAATTCCAGTGTGTGTCCCAAGAGGAGTTAAAAAACACCGTACGGATGGAGAAACCCCTACCCAGCTTGTGTTTTTCTACTCTACCATCAGGTTTCCTTCAACAGCATCAAGACAGACCTCACCATTTACTTGTATGGTCAGCTACTTCATCCACTGTCAAGTCTGCTGCCTTCTACCTCCACTGAGTACTAGTTATCTAGCAGAGGTACTAAGTACTAGTACTAGGTACTGATAGAAAGGCAGCAGAGACTTCTCCAGCATCCTCAGGCCAGGGGACAAGGCTATCAGAGCAGTGTATCAGTGCTGTGGCTAGTGTATGATTTTGCACCAGTACCTATCATAACTGTGGTAGGAAGGAGAGAAGTTGCCAACAAAGAGCAGCTATTTTTTTACTGAGAAACTCTTGTGTAGCTTAGACAAAAGAAGAAATTAAGACCTTTGAGTTATTTGAAGTTAGGAGACCAGAGTTGGGTGTTTTGACACATAGGTGCAAATTTAGGTGGAAAGAGCAATACCATCACAATACAGCTGTTATTGTACCCTTAACAGAATTGTAATTAGTCACTAGAATTAACCTACAGTGTCAGTACCCCATAATACATGGTAGGGTGCACAAACAAATATTACATACCCTGTCATGGGCATCCTAAAATAAAGCTGCATAACCACACTCACAGGATATTGTTACAGTATTGTTGTGGGAACTAATGTAAGAAAACCCAAGACCATTTAGAAACAGAAAGGTATTTTACTTAACTTTCTAACCAAGTAGACTGTACCAATCAGCACTCTCACACATACATTCTCAGAGGGGCCAAAATGTGTGTATCCAAGTGGTCTGGCCAAGATCACCTAAGTGTGACATGGGAGGCAAGGGCTGCCAGTCCTCCATATGCCTTCTGGGTTCTGCTTGAGGCCCAAAGGCCAACTCTTTCTTGGCCTCTAAGGTCCTTTAGGAGTCAAAAGTTACTATGGTGTGATATTTTGCTTCTGCATCTTGTTAACTTCACGCTCCATAAATATTAGGCAACATTTCTGCTGGGTGTCTTTCATTTTCTTGTTTGAGGTATCATAGGACTGTAACCCATCCTGCTGTTGGGCTAACAGGAAGAGAAACAACCCATGAAATGTGCTGTATTCCCACTGCTGTCCTTCTGTTAACAGGTGCAGGTCTTCTGCTGATGAGTCACCTTCTCTGTGGTACATCATGGTGCAAGCAACACATTTCTCAGCGCTTACCAGTTTGATTAGTGGTTAATCATGTCCTTGGCTGTCAACGCATACCATTCCTCTAACTCCTGCTCTGGTGTTTCTCCTGGTGCTTTCATGCACGTACAAGCCGCTGGACTGTACACCCAGGATGCTGGTTGTTACCTTTTATCCGTTGCCTCTTGCCAAGCACAAGGGTAAGCCAGTCACAAGCAGGGAGATGCTTACCTAGCTGTCATCTGGTCTTGGCATCCTGAACTGGGAAAGAGAGTATCATTCTGATTTTAGCAATAAGAGAACATCAACTCTTGTGTAATTCCTGCCGGATAAGCATGATTCCCTTGCAGTAACCTTGGAGAACCTTGCTCAAATAAAGAACCTGATAAGGAAAGCAGTGCTTATCTGGTTGTTCCTCTCCTAGTTTAAAGCCCCTCAGCTAGGCTATCAGAGACTTTCAGGGAGCAGTAACATGTCCCACATGACATAGTCCAGGGTCAGGAATGGAGATCAACACAGGCTTGTGAAGAGTGCTGGAGGTAATTATACCTGATCATGATTTTGGCTAACTGTAACTTTCCATGGCCTTATACCATTCCCATCTGCCTAAAGTACCAATATAAAAAAATACAAGTCTCAAAGACTAGTCACCAGGTCTCTCTTCCAAGCATTCATCTAGCAATCTCAAAAGAAAATTTGGAAATAACATAGGAAATAACACAGAAATTGCTCATAGTTCCTGAAATAAGAAAGCAACATGTCCTCAACTGAATAAAATTCTGAATCTACTCAGCAATGCCAGTGACTGCTGGAAACTGTTTTCAGGGTTGTTGTTAAGGATCGAAAAAACATGAAAAGGTGATACACCATTTGACATAACTCAATTAAACCTTATCCTAGATTAACCCTGGTACAAATCAGCTTCTAAATAACAGCGTAGGCCAGTACATTGCTTAAAGCAGACACCAAAACAATCCTAGGGTTACTTACAAAAGCTCAACTTCACTTTAAGCATGTGCCTGTGCATAATCCTCAAGTGGGAAGGACACCTCTCTAGTGTGGACACAGCCTGGAGCTGACTATATGCTCTGCAGTTCATGCGTGTGCTGCCTTTTTTTGCATTGACTGCAATGATTGATAGAAAATTCTAGGTCAGCAAACATGGTGTAACTACTGTATTTTGAACAGGATGTGACACAATTTTAATCCCTTTTGGCCTTCTGCCTTGTGTATGTGTGCCATACACAAGCAGATCAAGAATGGCTTTGCATGAGCACATCTGGAAGAAAATTAAGTAAGTGGCTGAATGACCAACATCCTCCACACATGTAGGCATATGACTTTAGGCTGGTTTACTACACATGGAGAATAAAAAGGGAGCACTGCTGTGCCATGAATACATTCACTTGGGTGGTGAAGGCCTTGTGCTGCGTTGTGAAGTCTAAGGGCAAGAGATTGAGTTGATCTGGACCCTGACATCATGGGCTGATGTCCCAGCCTGACCTTGGACCTATGCCATCACCATGGACCTGCCTGATGACTTTTGACCTGCCCGACAGACTTGAGACATGCAAGGACTCCAGTCCCAGCAAGATCAACACAGCTTGCCATGTAACTCAATCCATTTATTGGTCAAGACAATCCCAGATGACAGAACATCACAATATTTATGCTGCAAGCACCTTGATTATTTACCATTCTGTTTGTTTCCAAAATGCACCGCTTCAACTGTTGTTGATCCTTTAACAGGAGATGGGAAGCAAGCAGCAGTGCCATAGAGAGCAGAGCGCTCCCAGAATCTGATTTAGACAACTTCACCAAAATGTTCCGTCATGGGAGACTGCCAATGAATGAAGACAATACAATACAAACATTGCATCAGATAATTACAGAAGTGGCAGAAACATTATAACCTGAACAGAAAGAGAAGAGACTAAACCCTGTAATTCTTATAAATTTTCAGAAGTAAAAAGTTAGTACTTTTTAACTAAACATAAGTAAGTTCTTGCAAACTTTTCAGAAGTCTGTTGGGGAAACATCTTGCCAAGCTTTGGGTGTTTATTTGCAAAGACAGAAAAGTCGTCTTGCATTTGCATTGATATCCATGGCATGAACACAGTGCAGTCCTGCAAGAATGCTGCTCCAGGGCACAGCCTTGCAGTAAATAACTAATTCTTACACCCTGAGACCTCACCCCGTCCTGTTTTCTTCTGTGGTCAGTCCTAGCTGTAAGGATGGAAAGAGAAACACCTTTGCAGCCGGTCCCCTTTGATGGTAACTCAAACAGAGCCCACTGCAGTTGTCCTACAATGACATGCACCAACAGCCCCATCCCACCATCTCAAGACACTTAGTGTGCTGCTAAGACCCACAGTTTGTCTCTGGAGAGCTGCTGTGCTGGGCTCAATACCCCTTCTCACCCTCCAACCTGCCCTCTGCGACCCATCTCTTCCCCACAGGGCACAGGGTGGGGGATGCTAGTTGCATCATGGGCGGTGGGCATCTGCCAGCGTTACAAGCCACTGAAAGTTATCCCTGAGCAGGGGAAGTGTTGGACAAGCAGCTCTCCCTCGCCTGCACATGGCGAGATGTCTGTGCTGAAAACCTCGCTACTCCTCTGGAGGTTTAAGGCACTACAACCACACAGAGCCCAGTGGACCCTATCTTACTTCATTATTACCACTATTATTATTATTATTTGTACATCTTTGTGGAGAGAGGACTTTATCCTTTGCCCTGCTTGCTCCTAGGCATATTTTAAGAATATAGTGACACAAACAGGCAAATTCACAATTCCTCCCCTAATCAATATGTTATTAAGAAGTGTAATCCAGAAACTGAAAACAGTTAGACTCATTACTGGTTTCCACCAGACTTTTCTTCTCTCTCCCACATAAGGAAAACAAAAGCATTTCCTGAGAGTCGGCAAAAGGTGTCTTCCTTGCCACAGCTTTGCTGTGCTTTGTAATTTTGTCTTTTCAGAAATAGCCATGGCCCTGGAAGAGCCCTGATCTTCCTACAACAGGTTTCTCCTAGGAGGATGGACCCAAACCCAATATTTTATTTCTTATCTCTTCTCTGATTAGGGCTGGACAGGAGCATGCTTTACACTGTTTAATGCCCCGCAGGCTCAAGAGTGTAGTAGTGTACCTGCTCAATGCAAAGGGCACACAGAGGGCAGGGAAATGGAAGTGATGTACAAGCACTGCATGTCTCAGGTGATGAGACCTTCCCGTTCCCTCCTTCCCCTTCACACCAGACAAGCATGTGGCAAGGACATACCTTAACCAGCCATTTGGGGAGGTCAAAGACCCTTACCAAGGGTGACTTCATATTTGAGCTTGTGGTGATAGAAGCCAAAGCGAAAAACATCTTGATTTTGCGATCCAGCTCAGGAATGGATGAAAACGCAATGAAACCTGCAAGAGGGATAAGGAAGCAGACCCTAGCCTCTTATCTCTGAAGGAGTTGTTGACTCCCAGGCGTGTGTGCCCATTGGAAGGACCCTTGGAGGTGGCTCTAGGAGGTTGGTGACTTGACCTGAAGCCTTTGCTGCTGATGCATTTCAGCTCCCAGCCTGACTGCTCAGCCCAGCTGCAGCTCCTGCAAGCCCTTCTTGGGGCTCTGGCAGCAGTGGGATGCACCAAAAGCCATCACTGCAACCGTTTTTGGGCTGTCACTGCTCAAAACTGTTCTGTTAAAGTGAACTGGGATTTTCACCTGCTCTTTTCCCTTCGTTGTTTGGAGATGCCCGGACGTTACTCTCCCTGTCCAGGCTCTCAGGAGAACACTCCCAAATGCGGGGTGCGCAGCTAATGTAACTCTGACAGTGGTCTGATCTCCTAAGTACCTGTGATGGTGCCTTGAGAGTAAGCCACGTAGTATAACTGCTCCTGTCCAGTTTTCTGCAGAATATAGTTGATCGTTGCTGGAAGGTCATACATGGCCATTTCATGAAAGCTGCAACAGAGACAGACACATGACAAAATTACTGTTGCTGACCTTGAGAGTGACGGGCAGGACACAGCAAGTGGTGCTATGACTATCTCGGGAGCGGGTGAGGGCTCTGGCAGGTATGGGCATCCCTATGGCATCTTAGTGGTGTTGTTTTATGCCCACTGGCAGATGATGCGACTGTCAGCGGCGCTGCTCCTCCAGCCTACGGACACTGTTGAGGGTACCAGGTACTTGCTCACCCTTCAGTTTCACAGAAAATACC